AAGTTTTTAAATATACTTTTATATTGCACTAATTTCACATTCAATTTTAAAATTAATGTAGAAACAACAAATAAACAATATTAATATTTAATATTTTTTTAGTGGCATCTTTTTTATGACTGAAGGCGAGTATCACTGATACCAGTACTACTGATGTCTCCTTGAAATTGTTTTTCCCCCTAATATTTAACCATTGACTAAAGCCATTCAACATTACAGTAGCTATAATTGAGAGCTATCAACTTTAACATTTATTAGACTTTTAAAAAAAACTTCTAATTTAAGTGAACTTAAGTGAAACAATCTTCACATAAACCCATTATAATAAATGTCATATTTACCTGTGCCCTTCAGCAAGTAGGAAATATACAGAAATTGAATAAAGCTATCAAACACTAAATTCTAAATTAAATATAGATTAATTCTTAAAGCTTTTTTTCTTTTGTCCTTTGATTAACAGACATCACAGCAGCTGGTTATTAGGCTATTTTGTCTGCTTTAAGAGCTGCCGCTGCTGAACATGACGCAGATCTGACACGCATATTTTCTCACAACTCTTTACCTTTTCTGACCCACCTCAGGTTTTAAGTCTCTACTAATGAGCTGACGAGTTGAATCGGGTGTCATAGTTTCTTTTGCGCTTTAATATGAAATTATACACAGCGGGCACTGCCGCATTTGTGTGTGCAATTGAAGAGCATGTGCTACGAGCACAGTATAACGGCCGACAGGACAGTAGAATTGTTTTTTACTGACATATGGCCTGACAACATCTCATCTGACCACAGTTCACTGTTGTTCTACTGAAGCTCCCTCGTCACCTGTACCTTTTCCGCATTCGTTTGACTAGCACCTGGCGCTGAGGTGAAGTTGGAGTGCGTGCCTGAAGTGTCTCCTGTTTGATGTGGTTCTAAAGTCCTTTAAATAAACGCATTTCTTGTCAAGAAAAAAAGACAGAAGCAGCAGTTGTGAGTGGGGTGGCCAACCCTAGCTCCGCCCCGCGTTAATTACGTTAAATATTTTGAACGCGTTAAACTGAAAAAGTTATTTGCATGGGCTAATGCAGATCGACTGAGCGCGTGCGATTACTTGCGTCTGTCCTCCAGGCCGAGTCATATATATCTGTGAAAATAGGTTGTCATGTCCACGGAAAGAGAAATCTCTGTCTTAGCATCGACGCATAGCTGGTAAGCTGAGTCTGCCTGACGGCTGACGCAGACCTTAAATTCGAATGCAACGTTTTTGCATTCGAATGTGGATTTTTAAAAATTCGATGAATATTCGAATTTTTTTTTGACAGCCCTACCATATTCAGTGTTCTGGCTAAGGGAAGGAGGTTCTCGTTCAGGATTTTACAGTACATGTCCTGTCCATTTGCCCCTTAATGCGGTGAAGTCCTCCTGTACCCTTAGCAGAAAAACAGCCCCAAAGCATAATGTTTCCACCTCCGTGCTTGACTGTAGGGAAGGTGTTCTTGGGGTCATAGTCAGCATTTCTCTCCCTCCAAACACGGCGAGTCGAGTTAATGCCAAAGAGCTCAATTTTGGTCTCATCTGACCACAGCACTTTCTCCCAAGCCTTCTCTGAATCATTTAGATGTTCATTGGCAAAATTTAAACGGGCCTGTACATGTGCTTTCTTGAGCAGGAGGACCTTGCAGGCGCTGCAGGATTTCAGTCCATTACGGTGTAGTGTGTTACCAATGTTTTGCTTGGTGACTGTGGCCCCAACTGCCTTAAGATCATTAACAAGCTCCTCCTGTGTAGTTCTGGGCTGATCCCTCACCTTTCTCATGATCATCCTTACCCCATGAGGCAAGATCTTGCACGGAGCTCCAGACCGAGGCCGA